CTTTACACTTCCTTTTTAAACATATCTGAGAGGACAATTATTTTCTTCCTTGTATTTATTACCCTGAAACTAACACATAGCAAGGTTAATTTGGAATGAAATTACTGTAAATTATAGGACACAATTATACGACATGAAACTGAAACAGGAAATTTTTCCGGTGTTGAAATATGAAAGCATTTTAATACAAAACTGGCTTATATCTTCAGTTAACCAAGTTAAGCTATTTTTCTGTTATGGTGGTAGAATTGTTGAAATTTATTGAATTCAATGAGGTGAGGAATCTCTTTCTGTGAAGAAATACACAGTGTCGTGTAATCTCCAAAGATATTCATGTGTCAGATTATCGATGTGCTGTTACCAATTTATCATCACTTCTTTGATGGCAATTGTCCTGGTGTAGCATTCTTATTGGTTGAGTTCTTATAAAAATTACAAGTTACTACCTGTTGTACGGTAAAAAGTTGTACAGCCCTTCCCAGATTAATAGCTGGATGGCATTGCTAGTTTTTTATGCTGCACGTTGAATTGCCAGTATGCTCAACAGGGATCTCCCCAGAAATTTAGGACAGAATGGAGGAGGGTGCGAAATATCGGTAAATTTGACCAAAGAACCCTGGAAAAGGGTGTAAAAACACTAGTTTTGAAAATTAACAGGGTGGAGCTGAGATAAGGACTGGGTGGAGGAGCTCCACTGCTCCATTGTTTAGGGAGGTCCCTGCTCAACAGTGGCATCCTGTACTGCTGTGCAAAGCTGAGTATAAGGTTAATTATATAAAGGCATGTAATGATTTAAATCTTCTTCTTCCCTGGTGAGATTTTTTAAAAGCAGAACAGGTTTAGATTTATAACTTCCTTCCTCTTTCCTTACATGTTGAATATCAATATATTTTTTAAAGATAGAGCATTGTTGCAAGATAAAATGCGTGCTCTTTTATAGGATATACCTGATGAATCTAGAAACAATGAATATAGCAACAGCCTTACATAAAAAGGTGTCCAGCAGCATATATTGTGATTGCCTTGTACATAAAAATATTGAATATGTTGATATTTATCAGGTTTCCAGCTGATAGTCTGCCATGTTTCATGTCCTGATTGCGTACCTATGGCTTTGACAGGTAATAATATGA